ATATATTCCAACATGAATTGTTTTAAACAAAAGTCATGTACAATGTCTCTGATTTTAACATCTAACGGAAACGCCTACAGTCATATTCTTACGTACTCTACAAGTCACAAACGAACGCTGGTTAAAACTCTTTTCTTCAGAGCGAATTGAATACGTTCACCTGATAAATTAGACAGTGAAGTAATGCTGTCTGACAGTTCACTGCTTGAAAGAAAATGGTTATTCATAAAGCTCCATTCACAAATACGTTAAGACTGAACGTAAGAAACCTGATGAACTGGCAGTCAGCAAGAAGCCAATTTTCATCAAACCTGACTTCAAAGGTGATAATACTATGAGGATCATAAATAAAAGATTAAGCTCAACCCTATCCAGGATGTAACTCGCAGTAAAATTAGTCTCTCTGATCTGAACGTCATCCTCGTTGGCACAGTCGAAAATCGACAAGTACTCCTCATATGTTACCTCCAACTTTATATACTGATTCACATATAGCTTCGGGAGCAGTTACATCGGAAGAACACAAAGAAGGGCCTACGTCACATTCTTCCGTTTAAACGGACAGAGTAGTTTAAGCTATTCAATTACCAAACACCCGACAGACATAGAACATCTAGTAGACGGTGCTGGGATCATTCAAAACAATTAACAGACAAAATAACGTGCAAGCCATCTTCAGCTTGTTGTGGCTATCCCAATAAAATCAGGCCGAAACCGGATATTTGTGTCCAGAATGAATCTGCCGGTGGACTTCAATTAACCTTGGTGACTCATCCCTACATAACTCTTGGTCTTCTAATTTCGTTAACTTATCTGTTTGACTTCGAAAAGAGATCTTTTTTCTTGACCCCAAATTAGTTCTGCTCAGCTTCTTGCGCACCAAATTTTGGTCTTCTCTTATCTAACTAACACTCGGAATGGAGAGCGAGTCTAGCACTTATTTCCTCGATGTGAACTTATCAAGGAGGACTGATGGAACTCTGAAGAGATCAATTTATCGAAAGCTGTCATGGAATGGTCAACGGACAAATTTCTACAGCTGGGTACCTATTGGTCGAAAACGAAACCTGGTCCGGTCGCTTACCACTCGCATCCGGCCAATATGTAGCCATGATACTGTGGAAGATGAGTTATATCTTTTGAGAAAAATCCTAATGGAAAATGGATTTCCACCACGTTTTATAGATAAGAAAATACATTCGAATCCTATAAAACGTGACTTATCATCCATACCCAAGAAAATACTTTACATGAGCTAGGAATTCAAATGGGACCTAGCTTCCGATGTCATGAAATGAAGAATATCACAGTCCCTGAAAAGAACATTCTCTGCTGCATCTCTGAGAATAGCCTTTACTAGTCGACCATTATTGTTCAATAACCTGAAAGACAAGATCCCGCTGTTGACCAACTCTATGTGTGTTTATCAATTCACCTGCTCTTGTGGAGCTAGGTATATCGATCGTTCGACTCGAGTTTTGTCCAAGAGGGTGCAAGAACACTATCCTGCATGGTAGTTACGAAGAGGTGGAAGTGGAGCAATACGAAGCGCGATCATAGAACATCTGGTCGATAATGATCACCCTATCTCTATAGCCTCCACCTTTAAAGTCATCTACAAGGCAAAGAGCAATCTACCCAAATCCCTACGTACCCGACTTATCTGTATTGCTAAAGCTTTGGCTATCGAAACATAAAAGACAGATCTCTGTGTACAGAAAAAGTTCGTTCAACCCCTCCAACTTTCATGGTCTTAATCCCTCTATGCTAAAATATGATAATCGCAAATCATATTTTAGCTCTACCAATTTTTCATTTTTTCTATTCAATTTGTATACTCTTCCTTATTACGTCAATTGTTACTATTACTATTCTCACTTTGAACTATCTCCGGTATTATTTCACTTGTTCCACTTGTCATTCTAAATCAATTCTTTCCTACAACGATAAATTCTATGCTACCAAATTTCACACAATATTACGTAACGTTTTTATTTTATTTTATTCGATTTGAACAAGGCATTAAGAAGACAAATTTCGTGAGATGATATCATCATTTCGTAGTTTCTCTCTTCAATCGCTTTACAACTGACTAACATGGTTCACAATAATAAAATAAAGTTCATGACAATTACTCAGTTAAATAAAAAACGAAATTACACACTAATGACCAATCTCATTTAAATAGGTCATGCAGTCCAGGGTAAGCGAAGATTGAAGTCTACTGATTTTTGTACACACAGTTTAGGCTGTATGTGATTAATCCAAAGTGCTTCCATCACCTTCAATAATCAACCTTGAATTAGAGTTGTGTGATGAAATAATTATGAAGCAGTCATTAATATTGACTTTATGACCTGACATTAACAAGTGTTTTGCAATGGATGATGATACTGGATTTCTATTCAGATTAATTGCGTTAGGATTTTCGATATGATTTACTAGCCATTTTGGAATATGTAAATCATATGGAAAATCCTGACGCCATTAATCTGAATAGAAATCCAGTATCATCATCCATTGCAAAACACTTATTAATGTCTGGTCACAAAATTTATTTATTTTATTTCTGATTACAGCTTGATTCCACACTGTATTTTTGGTACAAGTATGGAGTTTTCAGCATGCATATCGGTAGCCCAAGTTTTGCAGGCCGACAATAGATATCAGCTGTGTGTCGGCAGGGAACCGATCCTCGGACCATATGCATGGTCGGCGAGAGTCCTAATCACTGTGCCACCGACGCACCGAATAAGTGAAGCAGTCAACGTCAACAACTAATTCAATACCTACGCTTAATCCATGAGTCTATACAAACGAGTTCTGCAGCATGATCCTTCAATTGACAGGGGTGAATGGCACATCATACAATCGGAAATTTTCGCTCCAGATGCCTGAAAGATTCTGATTTTTTTCAGCATCTCCACCTAAATTAATGAGTATGCATGCTATTGTGACGTATACAAGGAATTAAGAAGTGGAGGCTGTCGAAAACTTGTGAATGGCTTCTATATATGCCGCTTACTTTATTATGATTACTAATATCTGAATGAATCCCCTGTATAAAGTTACAGGATTCAGTAAAAATTCCTAAGAAACGGTAGGATGATATACATATATATATACATATATATATATATACATATATATATATATATATATATATATATATATGACCGATTGGTCTCAGCATAGGACTTTGCACAGAAGTGCAACAGTTCGAGTTGCCAAATCCTATGGAGCATACAAAGGGAAACAAAAATAAGAGAGAAAAAAAGATATTCGAAAGAATGATAGCGAGCAGAAATGCGAAGGACAAGGAATAGTAACATGGGAAAACAATAGATTTTTATAAAAGCAGTGTATGTTTACATAGTGAACTTGCTTATCATATTTGTGTTGATTTCGTCACTTCGTTGGGGAGGGGAGGGAGGTGTTGTAACCAGGTCAAATTCTGTTTTAATCCATCATTCCCATTCATCAGACAATTTGGATTCCACTTGATATGAAGTACTTCTGATAGGATTAGACGTTCTTTGGGATTTCTGAAGTTTTTCTGGATTATTTCAATGTTGTCCAAATCAGTTTTGTGGCCTAATTCTTTAGCGTGTAGACGACACATGGCTGGTGATTTTTCAGGTTTTTCTAGTTCAACTGGATTTCTCGGTGGTTGAAGAGATGCTCTACGGTGTTCGTTTCTTCTGATTTTGATTTCTCGAGATGTTTGTCCGATGCAGATCGCATCACATCACGTTCCAAGCATTTTATTTTATAGACACAATTGGATAGAGAATCTTTCGGAATTCGGTCTTTTATATGGACAAGGTTGTTTTCCAGTGTACATGTCTGATGTCTTGAAGAAAATTCTAATGTCGAGTTGATTAAGTACTCTTCTGATATCGTCTAACGTCTCCGCTCTCTATGGAACGAAGACTGTTGATGTCTATGTTGTCAGAATGCGTTTTTGGCCATACTTAATGTCTGTGTTGATTTTGTTGATGAAACGTCAGTAAAAACAACAATATCGGTTTGTTTTTCATTCATTGGTAAATACAAAAAAACACCTTTATTATAATAAATATCATATACCCAATGCCCAAAAGATTTTTTCAATCCGTTAAAAGTGAACTTGGTTTGGACATATATAGAGTGGACCCATGTTATTCCGTATCATAGTTTGTTCTTTTGATTGCTAAATACTTACAGACTTAGCATCACTAAGTGTTTTTAATCACTGTCGAAAACTTAATATCTACACTCAATAGCATCCGAAGATTTCCAGATTCATTCATCAACCTGGAAATCTTCGTCACTCAGCATCAACAACAAAATTCGGTCGGATTTTCAATACAAACAACATCAAGTCAGTCAGCTCTTCTATATGGATCAGAAACTTGGCGGGCGGGTCACAAAGAATATTTCCAACAGCCTGTTGCAGACCTTCATCAACCAACAACTGTCTTCGCTGGCTCTATACTGAAGATCAGATGGCCGGGCCGGAAAGAATCACCAACAATAAACTATGGGGACAAAGCAACAAAACAAGAACCAATCGTCAACCAACAAATATGCAGAAGAAAGTGGAGGAAGATGGATTGGACACTCGCTCAGGAGGGAGGCCGCCGCTGGGTGACATCGCGCGCGCATCAGGCCATTGCTCGAGTGGAACCCGAAAGGGAGGGAAGCGGCGAGTGGGTCGTCAGTGCAAGGGTGATATGGAGAAGATTGTGTCAAGAGAGAGGAGTTGATACAGTATGGACTAACATGGATGCAGGTGAAAAGTACAGCAGAAGGAAGACAGAAGTGGCAAGTGGAGACGTGCAGTTGAAGCGTTTTGTTCCACTAGGAACCCAAGGGAGGGATAATAATAATATATAATAATACCATCAGATAGCCTATTGATGCACCTTTGTTTAAAATTATTTGATTTTCAATTTGTTTCCTACCCTACCCTCTGCCCTGGCGCATCCATCTCTCCTCATGATTTTTGTTTTTGTCAGAATCGCCAAGAATCAGACAGAAGTAATCAAGATGGATGAAAAACATTTTAGTAAAAATGCACCGAAAAATTTATACCTTGTAACAACTGACGATGGATGGAAAGATCCTAAATCTACTCCGACTACAATCAATCCATATCGATCAGAATTGAACACTTATAAGGATAATATTTTAGAAAATGTAAGTTATCAATAAATTTTCTTCTGTAGAAATGTTTTCTTTGATACTTTATGTTGAATAAGGTCACAGAGTGAAGTGTAGATGACTCACTAGCCTGCAGAATATTACTAACTGTAGAAGAGAAGCAAGATGAGGAAGGTGATGTGAGTAAAGAAGAATGATGCTCAAGAAGGCTTCGTGTGCTTTTGAAAGTGTGTGAGCGGTTGTTACTTCCCGGATGCCCACACCACTGTGGAAGTTGGTCGATCCTTCGGGTACCTGAAATAGAAAGAGTGTTAGTGTTGCGTGACCGCAGAGCCCAGGGGACAACTGCTTGAGGCCTGTATGAACTGGCTTCTGGGATTGGTTCCGTATTAGTGAACTTACCGCCAGTTACGGACCACTGTAGGGTAAGTCAGGATGCACAATTCTTGGGGTCGACGTTTTCTTACCCCCTCTTTCCGGAGAAGAGAGATAGCTTAGCTGTTTACTGAGAACAATTTCTAAGAATTTTTTTTCGGTTTTCTATTCTATACATGAATAATCCTCATCCATAAGTTAAGAGAAGAGAACGAAACATACTGTCAATGTGAAGAGGCACTTTTCGGATGAGAATTCATTGTCCTCTCTACCTGCACAATCGCATTCATATAAAATTTGGTTTCCATGATAGATATCACTGACACAAGTGATGAAAGAGTTGTCACAAAAATTCTCGTCAATATAAGTCAGTGCATAAAAGCACTAGTTCAATAACTATATTTGACTTATGTAATCAGATGAATACTTTAATGAATGAATGAGTTGTAATCAGTCAGAATGTGCAGAAAAACGAAGGAAAACGTGGAATGATGTAACACTTCTGAGGAGTTGGGGGGAAACGAACAAACAAACACACAAAGAAGAATTAATTTTAATAGAAATCAACACAGTAGTTGCAATCACAGTAGAAATGTACTATTTATTTATTACTAGACTACTACTACACTACACAATTTATTATAAAATAGTAGTTAGAGTTATAGTCAATCAAATGTCTACCCTTTTTCACTGAGTAATGCCATATAAGAGTAGTTATTTTTATTAGAACTAAATATCTCATACTATTTTCAGGGATGTTCATCGTAGAGATTCCCACCACTCGATGATGTCAACGAAATAGACGAAAAAATGGGTGAAGCCCGCATCACACACAAGTGCCGAAATACAATGTCCCTTGTATTATTCGGTCTCATCAGATAGATGATTTTAAAAGGGGATTCAGGTGGAGAAGAGTGATATGATTGCACTAAATGGGGACGAGCTGGTAGTTTTTATGAGTTGTCCTGAAGGTCGTTGTGCTGAAGAATGCTCAGATATGCTCCGAGAAACTGTGTATTTCATGCGTCAAATATGAATAACTCCACAGGATCAAGTGAATTTACACTAACTCAATAAAGTGGGCATGTAAAAGATATTTATCAGGCAAACTCAGCCTTTCCATAAGGCCATTTTTGAGCGCTCCTACATAATATCCGCCGGCTGTCTCTCTCTCTGTTCATAATATCAAAATCCATTTTAGTTAAGTAGTGCTGAGAGCTGGCTATTAGTAAAAATTGTTAGAAAGTAATTGACGTCAATTTTTTGTCCTCAATATTGGTGATGAGAAAAATAAGCACAGAGACTAACTCAACAGCCAATCACAACAGACCACCTTGCGTAGGCGGATACAGTTTGCAGATAGATAATCTGAACGTCAAGAAACGGCCACAATATTATGTACTCGTCGCCAAATTATTGTTATGTACTGGTCGAAAATTTAATAGTCCTGACGCAAGAAAGACGGAAATCGGAAGACCACTAGGTTTGCGATGATACTTCTATTTTCCAAACACCAGGAGAATCAATATGTCACACAAGAGTGTGAGAGCAAAAATATATCTGAATGTCCGAACAAGTGTGTGAGCGAATATTCAAAATCAACAATCAATAGACAGTCTTAACATGATTGGCTAATTATAATGTAATATCGATCCATATATACATAGCAAAATATATCAGACTGTCAAACAAAACACTCATATTATATGGATACATGTCACCAAGAACAGACTGTCAAACAAACATGCATATTATATGGATATATATATCACACAAACAGATGAAAGATTAACGTTCGGGAAGAAACCACCAATAAGAAGACTGTGCTTGTTCCCTTAAAATAATTTATAGTAATATACGTGAAAATATATGAATATTTTATTTTATTTATTTATTTATTTTTGATTACAGCTTGATTCCACACAGCGGTTTTTGGTAGAAGTATGGAATTTCGAGCATTTGATATCGGTAGCACAAATTTTGCCGGCCGACCATAGATATTAGGGGTGCGTCTGCAGGGGATCGAACCCCGGACCATGTGTATGGTCGGCGAGAGTCCTAACCACTGTGCCACCGACGCATATGTGTAGATTTCGTAAATAAAGGATTTGTTGCCTGGCCATTGTCTTCTGTTGTTACAACACTAACTGCCTGTTGTATGCGTAATTCCTCCGTATGTTGTAGGAAAGTGCTTGAAGTGCGAAGAATTTCAGCTGTTTCGTGAAATAGGTCATGATGAATTCCCCGAACAATAACGACAACCGCATTCCTCATTACTTTGATACATTCAACAGTATACACATTGATATACTTCAAGCATTCTCCAACTGCAAATGAGATTGGAATAAGTTGACTTGTATTGACAACATTCTCCGGTTAGGAAGATACAAGGAGGGATGTTACTGCTTAGGCAAATACAGCCATTGCCTCAGATTGCAGATGGATGTCACTACACCGTTTCGTCATTTCAATTTCATTACAAACATTTAGTGGAGACTTTCAGAGAGAAGAGATTAACAAATTTGAAGCAACTGATGTCGATATAAGTGTACTTTGAAGTTTTCAAGAGTCCGTTTCTAGGTATCTCATTTATTTCAAGTTTAGTTCTGGATTGACGCCATTTAGAAAATCATTGAAAACCATCACAGAATAACGGAGGCCTACTCCGTCCTAGTCTGATAATTATCAGCAGGATACAATTACAACACCAACGAAGATCATGGATCCAATTAATACATGTTCAAACTTCAATTAAGTTAAAGCTTTACTTTCACAACACATCCTCCTTGATATAATCACATTTAGTTCAGTAAGCTTCATTCAAAAGTAGTAACGATGTAATATCAATATGCTGACGTCATACCGTTTGATTTCATCTGCATGTATTCATTGAACGCATTCCTGAATTTGAATATCTCACGTATATTGCTGTCATTTTAGATGCCTCTCTTTCAAATATCTAATGCCATACGGAACACATTGCTGTCTCACCACATCGGAAGTCAGTGATATAGATGGAAATGGAATCTGTCATTGAACCTTGATAAGCATTCGCGAAAATCAAATAATCTCCTAATATTTCGAATATCATTGTTCAACTATGACCTTACTGAGAAAAACACAGGATGTTCTTCTCAGTGCATTGAAAAAGTTGGTCATCTGTGGATGGAGTGATGCAGAATTATGAAACTTGGAATAATAATTTCCACTGTGACTTGTCGATTACATGAATGTTTGGGGTTGGTGATTTACTGCTTGCGTCTATCAATTCATCGGCTAAAAGAGCGAAGTAGGAATGTCGCTATTCTGCTATTCAAAAGTAGCACTGAAAATTCAACCTCATAGTTTTAATAGGTAGAAAAGGGATCCCTTCAAACACATCTCTCATCTTGAAGATATAATCGATTCTGTACATTGAACGGACTCGAAATTGAACTCCACAGTCGTCATCATATTACTCTACAATTCATGAATAATTCCATCCAGACACCAATGAATACAAAACAATCAGTTTGGCGACGAAGCTCCTTCTGCTGAATTAATTCTCATCCTTATCCACACAATTACATATTGTTTGAATTACTGTTTCACGAGAGAGAGATGATGAGTTGTCACAAACATACTTGTTATTATGAGTCAATTAATAAACGAAAGTTCACAGAGGAGTGTATCAGAGATACGTAAAAAGTTGAAATATTTAATGGATGAGCTGTAATCAGGATGGCCATAGAAGCTAAGGAATATGTAGAATTACGTAGGAGTGAGTAATGATGAAATACAGGAGTTCTAGGCAGACAGAAAAACAAACCACCAAACGAACAAAATTCATGTTAGTAGAAACCAACAAGGATGTTAACATGCCATTAGAAATGGTGGAATAAATTACTCTGTATGCATAGTTCTAATGTGTTTCGAGCTGAGTCAGTAAGCCTTCACCAATGCAAATGAGACGAAGGGGTACTGTCTTTCGCAGAGGCTTCTTTATCAAACTTCACAACAAGCCTTCAGCGGATGTGAGACTTTGCAGACTTACAAACTCAGGAAACTGTGAGAATAACAGACGGCTACTAAGTTATCACTCACCTCGTGCATCACACATGTGGATCCTCATGACAGCCAGTAGACTGAGTAAAGCGACATACTGTTGCATGATTTCTCCAATACTGAACTCTGACAATTTCTACTCTCATATCTTAGTCACTTTCATACACAACTCACCACCAACAAATATAGTCACCAAACACACACACACAAACAGCACTACGCATGTGGGTGACATCCTAATAAGTGCTAAGCATTACTCACTTATCAATCCCACTCAGCGTATTATGAAAGAATATTCAGGTCACGCGTCACATGCTGTATACATTATTAATTGATAACTGATGACGTATAGCTTAGAATTTGGCGTGATTGGATTCACTTTTCACACAACAGTGTGTGGTTTACTGAAGCGTTTCGACGAAGTACCATACCAATTTTGTGATTCAGACATTTCTGTCTACACTAACTGTTCTTCTGCCATATTTCACTTCTTCGTGAGAAGTTCAATTCTTATTCCACAGTGTTGTCGTCCGAAAACGCTTCCCTCACAAATGTTCATCCACATCATGTAGACTGCTGGTAGATTTGGTGTTTTAGAATCATATTTACTGAAATATGCAACTGAATTCATC